ATAGCACAGAAGGAGACTATGAGGTTATGCCACACTGCCCCCTGCTGCCTGCCACTGATCACTGCATGGGCGAGGCCAAGGAAAGAAGCTTCGATGTCACATGACTTGATGGTATCTCAAAGCAGGCCAGATTCAACAGGTCCAACAATGGCTCCACCTCAACCACATTCTCCCCTGAAATCCCCCCTCCCCCGCCAAAAGCCAGCCCCTCACCTCCAGGACGTGCTTGACAACGGCGTCCGATGCCCCGAACAGGTCGACGCCGGAGATACCCCGCACCTCCGTCTCCACGGCGCCAGGAGAGAGGTTCTTCTTCCTCAGGCCTGAGCCCCCCGGTGCCACGCAGGGCAGAGGTAGAGGCAGAGAGAGGTCACACACGAGGGGGCGTAGGGAGAGGCAGAGAGAGGTCACACACGAGGGGGCGTAGGGAGAGGCAGAGAGAGGTCACACACGAGGGGGCGTAGGGAGAGGCAGCAATGACTCACACACACACACACACACACGCCTCCTTTCGGCCGCCACACAGAGACGCTGCAAGCGCATGTGTGCAAACCCTGCTCACAACGTGATCCTGACCCGACAGCCACTATGCCAGACCCAAGACTCATGCTTCTCATGACTGGTGGATCCGAACCCACCCACCACTGACTGAAGCCCCTAACGGCTACCAGTGACAAGGATGTAATGATACAAAAAAACTCACCGTGCGATAATTATCATGATATTAAAAGGTGAAGAAAAATAACAAAAAGTCCTTTATTAAATAAATAATAAATCACTGTCCCCTGTCCTCCCCACCCACATTATTTATATAAAATTTGCTTTTCCTTTTAACTTAAGGGACTACTGCTTTTCTTTTTAAAAGTTCCCAACCAAAAAAAAAAAAAAAGAACAAAACAATATGATCATCATTAAGTATGACTGCAACCTTTCACACTCAACCCAACAGCTGTCGATTAATGTAATAATTAGATCAGTCATTGATTAATTAAATCAAGTCACCACTGTTATACCGGCTGTCCGGGCCAGAACACACACAACCGGAAGGAGCAGAGTTTGCACCAGCAACTAAAACAGCAGAATCTGCCGTGTGGAGGGCCCAAAGGACGGAAAGGTAGGAACTAAAACTCAGAAGGAACCCCCCACGTGCGAGTGTGGATGTTTCTGGCGGAGCATGGGTACAGGGTAATGCAATAGCAGGAGGTGGGAGATGATCACTCATGGGGGGGGACGGAGTGGGCAGAGAGATATAAAGTCCAGATCAGATGGGTGTGGCTGGGTGACATAGGGGAGGTTTGGGTGAGTAATCGTGTGAGTGCATGCAGGCATTAAAAGATGCAACCTAAACCAATCTCCTGTCTCTATGCTCTTACAGCTACAGTGTAGCATCAAGGATATTTGTGAGTTTGCTCATCAGTCAGGTTAGCCAATAAGTAGGTAGAAAATGTGCATATTAACAATGCATCACTGGTCTATGGTTACAGTGTCAAGGCTGAAAGATGAATGCTGGGCACAAAGCGTCTTCAACTGACTACCTTCTGTTTCTTCTCATAAAAGACTCCAGAAAGCACGCACTCCGCCCCCAAACCCACAAAAAAAAATTCCCTTAATTCTTCAGGAAACAGTATGCATGCAAATGCTTGTTGCTGAAGGGAAACTGTACAGACACTGTACCAGAAGATGATGAAATGTCCGCAGAGAGGTGAGCGTTAGATACGTATGCAGGTGGTCATTGTTAGTGTCAGACGCAGGTGAGATGAAACAGAGTTAGGACATGCGCAACATTCAACCAGCTCGTTTATGGGAAGCCAAGCACTGAAGCATCGACGACATGCTGGGCGCTCTTCCAGAGGCCTCGACCAACCCCTAGATGAGCCTCCATCTCTGATCACAGGGCTGGGTGACCCAAGCCCTCAATGGCCTGCAGGGGGCGCCGATCTCCCCTCATCTCTCCTAATGGTTTCAGTGCTGTGAGCGTTTCTTTTTCTCAAAGAGACAGATGCTATCGATGGCTACAGCTAAGGTTCTGGGTGTCCGAGCCCCGAGAAGAACATTATGTATTAAAAAAAATCACCCTATGACAAGGCTCACTATGCTCTGAAACACTCCAGTGAAGCCACTAGGAGGCGATGTAGAGAGAAACCCAGCTCGTCCTGCAGGCCTCCGAGGTCCTGGCTCAGCCTGTCGGGCTTTATGCTCCATCGGCGCGCTGACAGCTACCCCGCCATGGCGTCCGCCATTCCTGGGGGGGGGGCAAGGAGGAGGGGGGAGCTTCTGACAGCAGCTTCACGGAGCCTCTGTCCTCCGGGTGTCCCCAGCAGCTCCCCTGTCCTCCCCGCCCACACGCACCCATTCCCAGACCCAACAGCACCCCCTGCTGGCCCACACTCTCACCAGAGATATCCCACACGCGCACGGTCTGGTCCAGGCTGGCCGACACCACCAGGTCCTCCGACGGGTGGAACTGAGCACACATCACGTAGTGGTTGTGTCCTGTCAGCACGCTGAGGAGAGAGAGCGAGAGACAGACATTAATACTACAGCACGCCGGCAGAGTACTAAAACAGCAAATCCATACTAATTCCCACTGCCTCCGTAATAGAAGCATTCATTGGCGGAACCCAAAACGGAATTTTCTGGCAATTCTGACAAAAAGCACAAACTGACCAGACACAGGTGCGGGACTGCCAGTTCCAGATGCGGATGGTCTGATCATCAGAGGCACTCAAAATCCAGGGGTATTCCTGGGGAGCGGGCACAAGCATTTTTTAATTACTTTGGGATAATGAATTACTTTGGGAGCAGCGTGTGACTCAGTGGGCGGAGCCTCTGTGCTTGTGATTAGAAGGCAGAGGTGGCAATTTCAGGTCCAGAAAGTAAAAATCCAGACCAGGATTTTGTTTCAACCACCCATATTGAGCATAAAGAGTCACAGTCATATAGTACTCAAGTTGTTGATTGAAACAAAATCCTGGTCTGGATTTTTACTTTCTGGACCTGAAATTGCCACCTCTGTTATAAGGTTGTCGGTTCAAATCCCGGGGCCGGCAGACTGATGCTGGCAGTTCAGCCTCTGAGCAAAGGCCCCCAGCCCCAGGGGTCTTGCACGCTGGCTGACCCTGTGCTGTGACCCCCCAAGCTTGCTCTCATCTCTACGTGTGTCCGTTTGTCTCAAGGAGAGCAACACAGGGTAGGCAAAAAGGGAATTTCTCCGCAGGGATCAATAAAGTATTGCAATTCCATTTTAATGTGATGTGATGTCACCACTCCAGAATACAGTGGGGTGGGGTCCAGCACAGGCATCACTGCCTACATGACCGCTCTCTGCCACCGGGCATTCTGGGTAACACAAAACAGGGAGCATGGGTGCTGATAGTAACAGGGGAAGAGGAAGAGGGAGGGAGGAGGAGCTCACATGGTGGAAGAACGTGGTGCGGATATAATCCAGGTGACCGAGCAGCGTGAACAGGCAGCGCCGTAGCTTGTAATTCCAGACCTGAACAGCAGAAGCATACAAGAGTACAGTCAGATGCATAATTACTGTGCCGGAACAGGGCTTGGATGCAGAGCACAGTTGTCTATACAAGTGCTTAACACAGCATACATGCAGCATAATGGCTCACCTTAATCTTGTAGTCATCTCCGCCAGATACAAACAACGGCTGCTGCTTGTGGAAGTCGATTCCTCTAACCGGACCTGCACAACATAAATTCAAAAAATCAGATTTCATCACAAACAGAGCCCTTCAAAAACCTGACTACCAGGGTGCTTTTGGATTTTCGCCTGCCGGACCACCTCTCTGCACCCGTTCTGCACATGACAGAAAGCCTGTCCTGCTCATGAAGCCCGTTGGTCAGCGTGAGCCCAAGCGTCAGTGCCGGGTCTGGTGGATAACATGCACTGGAAAGGGATCCCAGTTACGACGGGAAGCGTGTTACCGTCGTGCTCGTCAAACTTGTCGATCAGCGTGCACATGCGATAGTCCCACAGCTGGATGACTCCATTGTGCAGGCTGGCGAGAATCCATGGCCGCTTGGGATGGAAGCTTAGCCCTGATGAAGGATGAAGAATGTCATGTTCTAAAGGAAATATTGCCCCCCAATAATGTCTCATTCCGTTCACGTCAATCCCGGACACGCCTGCTACTTAACCCTCATCAGTGTATGCGGGGCCAAGACGGACAGATGGATGGATGGACGGATGACACGTATTTCCTTATTTATAAGGACAATCCACTTCAATCAACATTTCTTAGCATATTACAGACATATTAGATTGCTAGCCCGATACATCACAGCCAAAGACAAGCAGAGAGCGGCTGCTTTCTGCACTTCAGTCGAATCATACACAAATCACACTACTACAGTATTTAGAACACTATGTCCTTGCTTGAATTAGTACCCAGTTAGCGACTACTCTGGTTGTACAGACATAAAAAGCTACTGCAAGGACTGAATTATCTCAATGTGCAGATAACTAATGTTTAGCCATACACTACAAAGTAGAAAGACAACGACTGTTACAAGGTATACAAGATGAACCAGACGAAACAGTAATAGGCCACGATTATGGTCTGAAGTGTCGGTCTATTTAGCTACGTTACCTTTCACACGGGCCGACTTCGTCTCAAATTTGGTCAACATCGTCTGTTTCCAGCAAAAATCAAACAAATGTAAATACTCCTGGTTTTAACCATCCACTGAAATGGCAAAACCATATGCGACTGTTTTACTTCGCTTCTTTTCTTGCTAATACGTTTGCCACGGCTACGTCTCCGGTACCAATCCAGTTCCTCTGAGCGAAGCCCTGACACGTCACCCGCTGCAGCTTCCGCTTGCGGCGGAGGAGACAATAAAGTTTGTTCAAATTACTCCAAGGCGGAAATAGCCACGTTGCAGTATTCCAGCTTGACGGTCAGCTGGCAGCCATTTTGGGAAGGTAAAATGGTGAGGGTGTGTCTATTTCGTTATGTAAATAAAAGAAAAAGGTCAAGACAAAGTGGTGTAAACCGGTTTTATTCAGTATTTTCAGATATTTAATATGAACAGTATCCCAGACTGGAACAAAAGTAAAGTCCTATAAAGGATCACTGTTAACGTATTAGAATTTAAGAAAAGGTTATTACTCTTACACTGGACTTTGTAATCACTGCGTTCCAACTCATAATCAGCCATATAATACAGGCATTCCTCATCCTCCTTTTTTTAGCCCAAACACTGCCTTATGATTGATTATTAATACCCTGAGCATATATCACAAAGGGCATAATCAGTTAGCAGTCAATCATGCAAAAATGAGCAGAGATGTGCCATCAGTATTTAGGAACCATATCAGTGGTGCAATGACAGCCTCAAATCTTAAAAAAACAGCAAGATGCAGAATTCAGGACAGAATCCTGCAGCCACGCTCCAACAATTCCTTGAACCCTTCCCTCCTCCTTTGACCAGGGCCTCTCATGAGAGGAATTAATGCAAGCACAAGGAATCTCTTTCACCCTTAAAGGATTGAAAGGGGTAGATGAATTAGCATGAAGCAAGACTCTTCGTAATCCAGGAGTAAGCAGGACAGCCCTGGGTATTGATAGGAAACACAGAGGCACTCAAATGTGACAGCCACAGTGAAGGGTTAGTTTATAAATTCATACTGCAATTCAGCCGTCACTACCACTGAATCTGTGTCTGGGACTTGTTTTTCCACTTTTCAGTTACTGCAAAAACTACAGAGAATATTCAATAACAAATGTCTGTTTTACAAGGCATCAAACATACATAAATTGTCTGCAAGGATCTGTGCTTCTGTATAATAGCAGTCATACAGAGGCAAAACTGAAAGAATTTTGTACAGTAGATGAGTAATTCAGGCAGCCAGAAACTGCAACCCATCACTAAAGATGTTCCCGAGGGATTAGTGTTTCACCACAAAATCATTTGGGATATATTAGCTGAATTCACAGTCATTTCCTGTATTGAGAATACCAGCCAGACAATAGCTTGGCCACTGTAATCAAGTCAGAAATTATAAATATAAAAGGATGTACTAATATTACTGCTTGTTAATGGTCTCAAATCTAGCACATGAATGTAAAATTCAAGCTTAGATTCTAAGTAACTTGCTTTCAAATCCCTAAACTATCAAATCCCTGCTCAATGGGCAAACAGCTTGACTGATGTTCTTGTGTTGCCAGAAAACTCCAGTGACTCCAGTGACAAGATGTACTCATGGGCTCCAGAAATGAGCAACTGGCAGATTACTGGTCAGCAGACCTCGAAGGGTTAAGAAAGGTGCTTAGCAAATCCAACTGAAGACAAATTTCTAAGTGTAGTAGGAGGGAAGACCTAAGAAATTGGTATGAGTACATGCACCACTTGATTTTGTTTTTAATACACAGGAGTAGTTGCGGAAAGGTGAGGAACTTCCTGTCTTCTGGTTTTTCTTCAGACACCAGTCAGCCGTCACTGGTAGATGTCGCCTCTTTGCGTCTCCCAGTTCGTCAGATCATGTCACCAGCAGCCTTGGGCTTTACATGACAGAGCACTGTTCTTCTGTCCCCCCTCCTGGGGGAGCCGGAACATTCAGAGAGTCCGGGTCAAAGTTCATGCCAGGAGGCTTGAAGAGAAGGAGGACCAGCGTGAGGGACGTTATTCTGCCACATGGTCAGTACTCGGCGGTCATTCCCAATCACCACAGAAACTCACCACTTCCCCTGCCAGCTCTTTTGGAGGATGACCCAGATCCTGCAGCTGAGGAGGAAAAAAACACAGCTCTGTGATTCTCAGACCAACACTTATTCATCCATCTTGATAATAAAACTCTGAAGTCACACGGTTTCCTTAATCTCCACGCATCCTCCCTCCTCCGTTCTCAATCTCATACCTGCTGCATGAGCTCCAAGATCTCCTCAAAGCTGCTGTCCCCCTCGCCCCCGCCTTGGCCCCTTTCTCCTTGCTTCTCAAAGTGACTGCAAATCTGGCCCATGATCTTGTGCTGCTGCTCATAGCGCTGGTACTGGTCAGGGGGGAGGGACTGGCGATTGCTGCTCAGCCACTCAGGGTACTGCGAGGGATGAATGACAAGCCTCTCGGTCAGTCGTGTTACAGACAGGGAACTGCTGCCAGGAAGATTCATATCAGCTGTACATCCAAGCAAAAACTTTCAGGAGTGTAATTCAGACACCTACACAAGCAAGAAGAGAAATTTTCTTGGAGAAATATCAACACCCAGCTCCTCAATACTCAAATCCAGCAGATAAGGGACTGCATTAACATAAAAATAAAATTCTGCTTGTCATTAGATTCCTCAAAAAAATTCTCTAATCATCTCAACACAGATAAACTGGGCTCCCAATTTCTCTGTAAAATTAGCTGGAGCATGAATGTCGTGTGATGCACGAGTCCGTTTGCCGTTAGCACACCCATTCCATAATGTGCTTCTTGAAAGAATCAGTCTCTCCAGCTTACATGACGTCAGGAAAAAAAAAAATAGGACTTTATTACAGATCTAGAAAATTTACACGGTCATCTTATGATTTCCCAGTGAACACTAAACTAACATGAACCATCGTATAGTAGTAGCCATGCATCTGAGTACATTATGCAATTTATTAACATTGTTTGAACATGACAAACACACTCGTGCACAAACCTTCTCTGTGATCTCTTTCAGGGATGGATACAGAACCTCCTTTGACAGCAGGTTCTGCATGATTGACTGCATAATGGGCAGAATGTTCCCATCCTCCGCCCCCCCTTCCCCATTCTCATCCAGTCCCAGTCCCTGCAGGGTCTTTGCCAGTTCCTCACCGGCCAATCCTGCATTCTGAGGATCAGCAGAGACGACATCAGACAATAAGCAGAAAAGCGACACGGAGAAATGAAGGGAAATTTAGTATCATGTTATAAACAGAAGAATTTTAAGCCCACATAAAGATTTCCAATTTTCCTTTCATTCTTAAAGCAATATCTTAAGGTAATATATCATTTTCGACTTGCTGCATTTAAATACTGATGGATGCTCCATGCAATACAATAAGATGATACCACAGAAGAAGGCCAACTTACGTTCGCATACACCATTAAATTTTTAACCTCGTCTTTCCTTCACATCAGGACTTGTAACTACCTGCAAGCTGTCTGTGTTTTTCGCCAGTCCTGTCAGCGTATCCTTCAAACAGGACGTGAACTCTTGCTGGGAAGCCAGATCTGTTCCTATGTAAGAAGAAAAGAGTAAACAGACGGGCAGATAAGCGAGCAGCACCTCCACCTGGAAGGTTTACTCGGGGAGCCGGGCTGCACCTCAGCGGTTCCTTCGCACTTATTGGTCCATCGCCTTGACTTCCTGATTGGATGTGCAGCGAACACGGGCAGACACACACGGCGCGGAGAGACAAACGCACGCACCCACTTTGCCAGCAGCCTCGGACAGCTTGTGGAACTGCCCCAGCAGCTCGGGTTCCTCCTGGGCCAGCTCCGTCATGGCCCGCTCCCACTCCTCCCGCGCCTGGTTCGCCATCTCGCCGTCGAACAGCGACTCGAAGAACTGGCTGTCCTCTAGCAGCAGAGGGGGCTGGCACAGCAGAGCGCACGTCACGTGAGACGCACGGGCACAGAGAAGCATCCCGCACTCGCACACAATTCACATTGCTCTAAGGATCCACATAGTCTGAAATTATCTGCCAGTTTTGGATTACCACCAAAATACGCTGCATTCCATTTAAACTCCGAAGTCAGAAATTCCGAGTTACTAGTTGGAAATTTCGATTGGAAAGCCCCTTGAAGTCGGAATTCTGATTCGGAAAGTCAGAGGAACCTCAGAATTAAAATTGGATGCACCCTTTATGAACAGAAGTGAAAACTGTAGTTATGTAGTGTTTATTAGCACTTGTGTCTTAAATGTGTCTCATTAAATCTGTTGTACGCCCAACCGCTGTCTGTGGACGTGTTGCTACACTGTTTGTAATGCACAAAATAATGCATAATGCATTGTTATCAATTAATATTGCTAACAAAGGCTAACAATGAACCTGGCTAGAACTGGGGCCTGTTTCAGAAAGCAGAATTTCTTGCTTAGCTAGATAACCTGTTGGATTTAAGGTAGTCTGGGCTAAACGCAAGTGAAAAAAGCCCCATAAAGACCACATAAACCTGGCTACCTTACATCAGACAAGTTGTCTGGCTAAGCAAGAAATCCTGCTGTTGGAAACAGGTCCCGGGTATTGTTAACTCGAGTGCGATGCCATTCTCAGCTCCAACTTCCAACCACCGAGGTAAATGGAAAGCAGCAATATGCAACACATCCTGACGTCAGTGAGTGCTTTTCTGTTAAGAGAGACCTAAACGCAGAAACTAAGCAGGTATTTGATGGAAAATATCCATCTACTTTCTAACCCCTTATCCTGGTCTTGGGGCCAGGGGGACCTGCACTCTATCCCAGACAGCACAGGGCACACCGCCTGTTAACTCTCCTATGTGGGGCTGTGGCGGTCCTCACTTGCTCCTGGTTCCCGCTGCCTGGATTTGAGGCGGCGGCAGCAGCAGCCCCAGCGTCGTGGGCTGCAGGAGCAGATTTCGTCTTCTCAAAGTCATCAAGGGCGCCTAATGCAAGATGCAGGAGGGATGTTTCAGCAGCTACTCTCAGAAATATCTTATGAAAAGCAACACAATAAATATAGATTATTACGGACGTTGCACCAGTTCAATACGAAGGTCCCCTACCAATACTACTTGAACTAATCTACCCATACGGTTGTGGAAGCAGGAACCGATGCACCGAAAAGATTCCCTAAAAGTTTTAAGGCATAAATTCTGCCAAAAGCGATGCCGATTACACAAAATATTGAATGCTCGCACTCTCTAAATTTCTTTCAAAACAAGAATTTTTGATCATAATTTAGTAAAAGAATCGACGTAAATCGAGTTCGGGGCTTAATTTCTAGCAGCGCCGATGCAGACACGTTATATTTTCGTAATATCCGTGGGTCTCATGGTCCAGTGTCACACGTGACACATCAAACCTTGAACATTAGATCTCGGCGAAGCAAACAACAAAAAGTACATTTGGCCATGTTCGCATAGCATGTCAAAACAGCAGCGTCAATAATATGACTTTTGTTCCCCATTTAAGCGCACTCACATAAACTCAAGTTCTTGCACTAGACTGGGGACACATCAAAGAAAATTTCAAACCTTACTGTCCAATAACTCGTCCAGTTCGGGATCTTGACTTTCTGGAGGTTCAGAAGATGCTGAGGCCATTTTGTCTTCCATCCTGATTGACAGCTGCGCAGTATATTAACGTAACCAAGCGCGACTTTCTCTTCTTTTTTTTTAGAAATTAAACAGGTCGCGCTGAAGCAGCAAGACTCAATATCGCCACCTGCCGCTTCGGAGTCCAATAACCAACTCAAACAAACTACCTTCCAATCAAGACTGTAATTATAATACATGTTGAGGGACACACGCCCCACCCCCCAGTATTCAAATGAGCTCACAATGTCCCCCCAATATATATTATGATTTCGGCCTTGGTCCCACTCAGTGTTGGCTCCATGGCTACGGCCTTGCTCCCAATTATGTTGTTATAAGTTGCTCAGTTTATACGTACTTGAAATTTTGCATAATTCACTCTCTTAAATGTATGACATACCTCAAATGTTTTTAAGTTAATGCGAATAATTTCAAGGCAGCTAAGCTGTAGAACTGAATATTTGTTGATAAATGTTGTTGATATTATTGTCATGGAAGCGAGGCATTTTCCCGTTTAGTCATTTGATAACAGTGACGCAGGCAGTTTTTCATCAGAATACACAAGGGGAAAACTTCACCCTTTTTATGACTATTCCATATAACATAACCTCAAATTAGCTCTAAGTGACAGTGGAACTAACTTCTGCATTAAATGGCAACATGTGATTTTTTTGGAGCAGACTGAACATTTAGGCCTACCACAAGGATATTGGGTCAGAACTCTGTTCCAAGCATGAGTTGCATCCAGACAGGGAGTTCTCCATGGCGCACAGGTAGAACTTCGCCAGGCAATTGCGTGCCCATGGAAAATGTTCCATTCAAAAATAATAGTGCATCAATGTGAAACAGAAACTGAGAATTAAAAACATATACATAATCTGGAAGGCAGAATTTACCAGGCTAGTATTGGCTGGTTTACAATTTATCAGTGTAAATATTTTACGGATAACTGCACAAATTTCGATAAATGTTTAATAAAGGCATTTTGCTGGTTAATGAAAGATAAGACCGTTATCTCAAAACACTGAGTGCAGTCACTGGTGGTTACCTTAACAGCACAGTAAGGGAAGCGTCTGTTTAAAATACGAAAGTAAAAGAAAAAAAATATCAATTTCAAAATTAATTCATTGTGCCCTTGAGACTGATATTTCATAGCAGTAAGAAGAGGAAATTGTGAGGAATGAAGAATGTGGAAGCTGAAGATCGCCGACAGAGTTGAGCACCTAATTTGGCATGGGCGGGGTGCGCGGAGACTTTGCCTTCTCGTCCCTTTTTTAAAGCTGAACCTAGACAGAAGCGCAGGCAGCCGCCGAATCGCTCCACAGCCCTCGGCCGGGATCCGGAGAAGACTTTAAAGGCCATCTTGGGAGACGTGAGTTTTGTTACCTGTTAGATCTGTATTTCCCTAACTTTAACGGTATGAATAACTGAATAAGCTTACAGACTTCACTAGGTACTTTATTATAAGCACCAAGGACGGGAGGTGATGCCCTTTCTTGTCTAATTTTTATAATAATAGCCAGATCAAACATCTTGGACTCTTAAAATCATTAACGTGCTATGGATTTCGCTCGCCCAAGTCGGCGATTTAGTAAAGCTCACAAGTTTCCAGTTATAAGTACCATCTGAAAAGAATAGGCCTATGCTTTTTCAATTATCTTTATTAACGCAGCTATTCAGTATAACTATTCAGTACTGTGTCTGTATGCCGTGTTTCACACCCCGTCCCAGCGGCGGATCGGGGGCTGTGGCCGCCCTCAAACGCCTGGGCGAGGCTCGCTGTCGCCCGCACCGGTGCCGTCTTGCTCGCGTGATATAATCCATAATGTTGTTGTCCCTTTTCCCCTGTGAGCTGGGGATAAAAACTAAAACAAAAACAACTAAAAACAGAAAGTTACAAAGGTAAAGTCTACAAATTATCAGTTTTTTTAGGTTATTATTATTATTATTATTATTATTATTATTGCTGCAGTATTTAGTGTTAAATAAGTTAAATGACATTGTCTCAGATCTACATCGCATACGGATGTATGGGACGTGTTTCCAGCGGAGCCAAACCGTTACCTTCCTATCAAAACCTGCTTTCTCTCTGCGCGGAGTAATTGAGCTGGAATATGCATGTGGAACTTGAATTCAGCGCTGGGCACTCACTTCTTCTTTTCCCCTGTGCAGTCAGCTTAAAGGATGACTCAACGTTAAAAGTAATATTGGCGGGATACATTTTTGTATAAGTGTCAGGGATCCTGCATCCTGTACCGCTAGCAAGTCACCCGCGCTGTAGGATGCAGGATGCTGCAGACGGCTGAATCCTCCGACTGCTGCATGGTGTTTGACTGCCTTATTGACTTCCTGTTGTTGGTTGCTGTAGCTACCAGAGACACGACTGGCTCTGCGCTGTGAGTCAGGGAGCGATGACAGTGCGCACAATAGCTTTTTTTGCCCCCCCCTCCGAGGTCCCCGGCAAAGGTTCACATAAAGTGCATAGCCGTCTATTTAGTATAAAGGGTTTTTTTTAGCTGCTGTGTTCCGATCTGGACAGTATGTGGTCTTAGATCCAGGAAGCCCTACACTGAGGAAAAATTTCGCTTAGGGGAAGGAAACATTAGGACGACTGGGATAGTCTTCGCTAAGTGGGGTTATAGAACTTTCCAGGTGTTTTAGTGTGAAGCCACTTGTTAGCCACTTCTGTCTAGAAGGATGGCTGTGTGTTGGGTCACGCCCCACATTAGACTGCATTTCTTCGCTGTAAATGTCAAGGTTGTCTTCTGGGGGTTAGGGTGGGTTTGCGCGGCGCTGAGCGACAGAACGGCCAACTGTCGCTTCGCGCGCACTGTGGCTGTGGCCGCGGCTGGGTGTGGCTTCCGGAGCTCCAGCACCATGTGACAGTGCTGTCTGTTAAGATAGGACAGGTCTCAGAAGGCTGTTAAGAAATCTGATCCGACTTTTCAAATCATTGTTTTTATTAAGCTTTTAATTCACTGAAGACTTGTCAAATACTGTCATGGAGTAAAGTACCTTCTGTGCTCATACCCTCTGCTCGCCACACACACACTTACTGCCTCATCCACTCGTCCTCATCCACTCATCCTCATTTTCCCTCTCCGTTTCCTTATTCAGCTCTCTCTCTTAAGCCATGCATCCTTAGACTGACAGGATCCATCCCGGGTCCCAAGCTAGACAAATGATAGCTTTTCCCTAATCTCGTTTGCGCTAAAATTTCATTACAAGTTGAGTATCACAGTACAACATGTGATCTCATTACACACAAATACAGGCAGTGAATAGCCCTGGCCTGATCCAGATGCTACGGAAAGCGCCAGAACTCCTCTAGCCGTGCGAATGGGCACGTCTCTGTGTCCCTCTTGTTCGGGACGGAGTGGCCAGCATACCCAAGGTGCCATCTAAGGGCTGTTGTAACATCCTGCATTGTGTCAGCCCCCTCCACCATAAATCTCTCCAGAAGGAAATTCCAGTCTAACTTTTTTTCCTGCAAAGCGGCTTGCTCACAACTTGCTACATGCAAATTCGGTTCCTTCCGGTTGAGTAACGTAGGTGCGTAGGTGTGATATGCTCAGCTTGTGCCTAACGGGCCGCCGCAGCAATAATTTCAAACCTGGTCAGGCCAAAACACGTCGAGCTGGTCTTTACTTGGTTAGCAGTCTGTATGAAAGGGAATTCCTTTGCAGTGTTAGGAAAAGCAAAGCACAGAGCTCAGCATGCGGGAGAAGTCGTCTAAAGATTCCATTTAGGGGGATAGAAGTAATCCAGCAAACTATAGGCCAATCAGTT